GTAAGGGAGGATAGTGGGTAAGGGAAGGTAAGAGAGGCTTGGAAAAGAAGGGGAGTAGGTCAGTTAGATTAGTGGGGGTGGAGGGGGGGGAAGAAGGCCGATAAGGGAGCGCCATGAATATAATGAGGTTAGGAAGAATTATAAAAAAGAGTGGAAAGGAAGAGGGAAGAGGAGGAGGAAAAGGAGATATAGAGAAAGGAAGAGGGAAGAGGAGGAGGAAAAGGAGATATAGAGAAAGGAGAGGGAAGAGGAGGGGGGGGGGGGGACTTGTATGCCTGTGTGACCTTTCAAATATGTGTTTTACCTTGCCTTCTTCGGCGACCAGTGTACAGTGCACTTTTGCTTAAGGATATGCTAAACTGTATAATCTTATCTGCGATTATAAATATTTGCATCTGAGTTATTCTTATGCTAATCTCATTGTTGTACATGGGGATGAATCTTCAAATAAATTTCTGTGAATATATGAATACAAACAAAAATGCCAATGAATGAATGTGCATATATATGTTTATACATACAAATATATATATATATATATATATATATATATATATATATATATATATATATATATATATATATATATATATATGCATATATATATTTCTTTATACATATATATACATATATATATGTATATATGTGTGTGTGTGTGTATTTATTTATTTATCCATATATTTATATATTCATATACCTATATATCTATATGTTTTTAGATTTATATATATATATATATATATATATATATATATATATATATATATATATATGTATATATATATATATATATATATATATATATATATATATATATATATATATATATATATATATATATATATATATATATATATATATATATATATATATATATATATATATATGTATGTGTGTGTGTGTGTGTGTGTGTGCATATATGTATATAATATATATATGTGTATATTATATATATATATATATATATATATATATATATATATATATATATATATACATATATATATATATATATATATATATATATATATATATATATATATATATATATATATAAATATACAGAAAGACACACACACATATGTGTGTATGTGTGTGTGGGTGTGTCCGAGTGTGTGTGTATGTATGTAGGACTGTCGAGATGACGATAATGTGACAGCCCCTGAATCCACCTTTCCCAGTACGTCCCTTTTTTGCTTCGTTATTCATCGTTATCACCGAGTCCGCCGAGGCACGGATAATGTCACCGCAGTAATTCATTTATTCATCATCAACGCAGTCACTTGTCCTTCATAATGAAGTTACGTCAGAGAACCGTGACGGAAATAGTGCCATACCATTTTTATAGAGAGAATTCATAATAAGAATTAAAGATAAACATAAGAGTATACAAAAGTGAGTACTTTAAAAAATGCGAATATATTATTATAACTTAAGTTACATAGAAGATTATCTACACCTTTTCTGGAAACTATATAAGCTAAAATCCATCCGTACATACATACATACACGCACGCACACATGTACACATAGGAGTCCCTCCCCTTAGTAACGGGAAGGACTCCTATTTTCCTTCTTCTTTTTTTTTTATAGAAAGTGGGTCTCGGTTACCAATGATCGCCCATGAATTCCCGTGAAGCGATGGGTATCTGTTTTTTTTTGTTTTTTGTTTTTTTGTTTTTGGCTGTCCATGCTTGTGAATATAAAGCTGTGGACTACTTTGACTTTGGTAATTTGGGACGCTCTTCTTCGGTGGCCCTCGGTCTTGCTGCTCTCTATCTATCTGTCTGTCTGTTTATCTGCTTGTCTGTCTATCTGTCTGTCTGCCCTCCTGTCTGTCTTTCTTTCTTCTTCCTTCGCTTCTTTCGCCCTTACCCCACCCTTATCTTCCCACACACACTCACAGATACATTAGCACACCAATTTACGACACCGTAGGCTTAACAACATCCCTAGAGGCATCATCCAAGCACAGAAAGAAAATAACTAATCTCCTTTCTTACCTTTTTTTTCAAATGATTTTTTTTTCCATCACTCTTATTAGAAAATTGATTAATTGAATGTTTGTTCTGTAGTTGGGAAGCTTTTCATTTGTATCGGCCACGTTAAGAATTTAATGACAACGGTAAGTTCATAATACAATTATGTTGTTCAGAAAAACTTGTCAGTGTGGTCAGGTTATTGATATGGTTTGGTCGCTGACATTTATCTGCTTTCCCAAGATCCTTGAGTTTTTGTTATGGTGCATCAAAGCACAAACAAAAACACAAGGCGTTCGAAGGTGTGTCTATTTTCCATTAAGGCATAGAGGGGGAAAAAAAGAATGTGATTACGTTCATTTGTTATCTTTTATTCAGCGCCATCTTCCTGTCACTCCCTGCATTTTTTTGCACTTCCCTCCTTCCCCTTTCACCTACCTCCTTCTCGACCCCTTCCCCCTCCTTCCCGTCTCCTCCCCACCTCCTTCATGGTACCTCCCCTCCCATCCCCTTCCCCTCCTTAAACCAGGCCAAAGCAGGTCACCTTGTGGCACTGCCCACGCACCTGTCGACTTTCCCAAGCCAACTGAGGAAGCCAGCGTCGGCAGCCGCTAGTGTGACCTGGCTGTGACCTAGTACGGGATACCGCGTCGCTACTTCCTCGACCAGACATCTTTGCCTACTCATCCCCCTCCCATTTTTTTCCGGCCCCACTCCTTTCTGCCCTCTCTCCCCCCTCCCCCCTCATTCCCCTCTTCACACCTTTCCTCTCTACTCCCTATTCCATCCCTCCCACTCTCCCCACACCTCTCTCCGACTACCACTTCCATCCCCCTCTCTCTCCTCTAGCTCTCCCCACCACCCTCTCCTTCCCTCTCTACCCCTTCTTTTAGCTCTCCCCCCATTCCTCCTACTCTATCCCACCCCCTTACCCTCCCCCTCCCCCCTCCCCCCTCCCAAGCGGTTGTCCCAATTACATGTTGCTACTCCCTCCTCTCGGGGGGGGGGGCTGCCTATTAAGTTCGGAATTAAAGAATTTACACTGTACTCACATGTTCCCATTTAGTTGTGGGGAAGGCCGGTGGTTGAGTTCCTGATACAGGGTTCATGTTAATCTATATCATTATACTGATGATTATATTGTGTTCGTCGCAATTTGAATTATTGTGGCCAGTTTCTCGTTTTTAAATTCGTCAATTCAGAGTGCTGAGTTTCTTCCGTTTCATTCACCATAAGCTTATAGAATAATATTTTTTTCTTTGATCGTTTTTAAAAATCTTACTCTGTATGTATTTGGATTTCATTAATGCTATTTTTAGTCAAGAGCGATCTGAAAAAAGAGTTATGGTTCAACTGTTACATTACAAAGCGAGAATAGAAGGACGCAAGAATTTCGCGCCTGGCTGCATTTCTTTATCAATGTTATAATTATCAGTATGCATAAGAATACGTGTGTGTGTGTGTGTGTGTGTGTGTGTGTGTGTGTGTGTGTGTGTGTGTGTGTGTGTGTGTGTGTGTGTGTGTGTGTGTGTGTGTGTGTGCGTGCGTGCGTGTGCGTGCGTGCGTGCGTGTGTGTGTGAGAACAGTACATGATGTCTGCAAAAGGTTAAATTTGTCACTCTACCAAATTTAAGTCTTCTTCTCTCACCTCGGCGGATGGACATGTAACCCCAAGTTTTTATTTAAAAATAACCAAGACAAGAACCGCAAGATTTTCGTCCTTTCCACCCGAATAGAAATCAACCTTCTTACTCGAAATTATATGCATGCTGCTGTCACAATCTGTATGCGTTTGCAGTTCATAAAGGTTCTAATATTTGCTCGTGTTTATCTTTGCTGCCATCTGTTGCTTTTTAAATTGTCAATAATATTATCATCATATTCATTATCGTTATTGTCATCATCCATTGTAGTCATTAGTTGTTATAATTGTGAGTAATGTCATAATTTTTACTATCAATGTTATCTGTACTTTTTCATATTGTTATTGTCATTTTCATCAGTTATGATACTGACAATGAAGATAAAGATGTTAATGATGATGATAATAACAAAATGAATAACAATAATAATAATAATAATAATAATAGTAATAATAATAATAATAATAATAATAATAATAATGATGATGATGATGGTGATAATAATGATAATAACAATTATAATAATAACAATAACAATAACGATTACACTAACAATAATGGCAACAACAATAATGAAATAATAATAATAATAATATTAATAATAATGATGACAAGAACGATAACAATAACAATAGTAGTAATAGCAATATGATAATGATAATGATAACAATAGTAATGATAATTGTAAAAAAAATGAAAGTAGTAATAAAAATAACTATTATTATTATCATTATGATTATTATTTCCATTATTATCATCATCTATTACCATTATCCTTATCTATTATCATTATCATTATCTATTATCATTATCATTATTATCCATATCATTACCATTATTATCATTATTTCTATTATATTCATTATTTCTATTATTATTATTATCATTATTATTATTATCATTTTTATTATTATTAATATCATTATCATTATTATTATTATTATTATCATAAATGCCAAAGAGCACTTAATTTACTAAAGTGCATTGCTGGAAATAAATGGGGAGTTGATTGAAAGTCTTTGCTAATGATACAGAAAGCCCTAATTAGGTCTAAAAATTATGGGCCAGTCGTGTATGCCTCGCCATCGAACTCAATTTTGAAAGGTTTGGATGCTGTGCAGAATGCTTGTGTGAGAATGTCTTGGAGCCCTGAAATGCACTCGGATCGAGCGTCTTGAAGTGGAGTCAGAAGTACCTCCCCTCCAACACAAACGCGGTCAGCAGGCGCTAATCTATACGGCAAAGGTGGCTTGTAACTCGAGCTACCCTGACGGAAATGGCAGCATTAGGCCCTTTTCCACACGACTCCACGATTTCGCCAAGAAAGTCGGTATAGATCTCTCTTCAATTGATACCCTTTTTAATCAAATATAGCGCCATGGGAATCCTCCTGTTTTACCATCATGGAGTCCCATGGCGCCGGAGATGCAGGTATGCCAGAGGTTCAGGGAGATCCTTCTTCAACATCTTCCTTTTTTCATATATATACCGACAGCTCCAAGACAGATGAATATGGGAGTGGGTGTATGGGCGACCGAATATGAACTTTCAGACTGCCAAATCATACATCGATCTTTCTTGATGAACTTTTTGCTATTGACAGAGTTATAGATTTTGCACTATCGATGGCCCACGATAGACTAGTATCTTTTTTCTAATTCACTTAAAGCCATCAAATCATTAGAAATCACCAAAAATGAAATGCTGGCTAATATTTGTAAGCTACATGTTGCCAACAAATCAATCAAGCTAATATGGGTACCAGGACACACCTCTCTACATAACGAATAACATCCCCTTATTTCAGCTGAATGAAATTTACACAATAATTTCGCCAAACTGAATGAAGCTGCCTGGAAATTGCCGTCTCTCTCTCTCTCTCTCTCTCTCTCTCTCTCTCTCTCTCTCTCTCTCTCTCTCTCTCTCTCTCTCTCTCTCTCTCTCTCTCTCTCTCTCTCATATTTTTCATTGTTTACTTACCTGTCACATTATTATCCTGTTACGTACGTGCTCTCTCTCTCTCTCTCTCTCTCTCTCTCTCTCTCTCTCTCTCTCTCTCTCTCTCTCTCTCTCTCTCTCTCTCTCTCTCTCTCTCTCTCTCTCCCTCTCCCTCTCTCTGGACGTGTTATTTTTTTTGATAGACCTGCAGATTTCTTATAGAATCTCTCTCTCTCTCTCTCCCCCACCCCTCTCTCTCTCTCTCTCTTCCTCTTTCCCTCTCTCTCTCACTCACTCTCTTCTCTCTCTCTCTCTCTCTCTCTCTCTCTCTCTCTCTCTCTCTCTCTCTCTCTCACACACACACACACACACACACACACACACACACACACATACACATGCATATATATATATATATATATATATATATATATATATATATATATATATATATATATATATATATATATATATATATATATATATATATTATGTATGCATGTGTATATATATATATATATATATATATATATATATATATATATATATATATATATATATATATATATATATATATTAGGTGAATATAAAGATGGTAAGTTTTGTTGTTTTGTGAAACATGATCAAATTCATAGGACTTAGCAATTTTCAAATGCGTCTCCTAAAAAATCAGGAATTTGGAGTTACGACCTTCTTGCAATGAGGTAGCGATATATATATATATATATATATATATATATATATATATATATATATATATATATATATATATATATATATATATATGTATATATATATATATATATATATATATATATATATATATATATATATATATATATATATATATATATATATATATATGTATGTATGCATGTGCATATGTGTGTGTGTGTGTGTATATATATATATATATATATATATATATATATATATATATATATATATATATATATATATATATATATGTGTGTGTGTGTGTGTGTGTGTGTGTGTGTGTGTGTTTTGTGTATTATTGTACTAATCGTCCTTATCATTTATTATTACCATTTTATTATCATTATTTTCATTAGTAGTAGTATTATCACCATCATTATCATAACCATTATTTTTTTGTTATTCCTATAATCACTATGATCATTATCATTTTTATTGTTATTGTTATTAATGTTTTGATTATAGACATCATCATCATCATCATTATCATCATACTCATACTTCTTTCAGATATATTATTTTTTTACGACCATCACCATCACCATTATTTATTACAAATATTGTTTATAACCTCCTTTGTTTCGTGACCATGCCAGTGTGTACATTAGCGTTTCGTAAATTGTATCATATTCGTATTATGAAACCCGTTTTGAACGAATCTCACTTCTGTCGCAATTAATGCTTTTGCATAACTCTAAAATTGATGGTTGCATTCAAACTTGATTCAGATATATAATTTTTAGATTCTTAAATTTTGCAGTGAGCTATTGTATTATGTCTAGGAGCATAGTGCATATGCTCCTAGATAGTATACTCGAAATACAACATAGGAAGATGTCCCCCCCTTTAACTCACGTATTCTATGATCAGCGTTTTCTTTCAGCTATGAAATAAAGGGTATACAATTATATATATCGGGATTGTATTTTATGTGTTGTGAATTATAGCGAATGAATAAATTACTTGATAATATGATATATCACTACAGTAGTGGTAATAGTACCAGCAGTTGTTGTTGTTGTAAGTATATGTTAATCCCTATGATAATTAACATTAACATCACGGTTATTATTATTGTTGTTTTATCTTTATTATGTTCTTATCATTATCATTGTTATTACTTTTATCATTATCATTATTACTATCACTATATTTACTATCATCATCACTCTTCTTATTATCATTATTACTATTATTATCATTATTCTTATCACCATCATCATCACCATCGTCTCTTCATATGATTTGAAACTACCATACGATTGAAACTTTCTATCGCAAGGTCATACTGCCTTGAGATGTATATATTTTCTTCTGTGTTTCTTTCAGAAATTGTCAGTGACGGCCTGTCCTCAGCGGCCTATTAGTGTTTTTCACGTTTTATAGTTAATAAAAGACTTTAAGTCTTCAGTCATAGACTGTAAAATACCAACATTGACCTATTAGATTACTATCTTTAATATGGATGTTAATTTTTAGTTTGTACTATTGGTCATTGAATGTTATGGATATATAGTATATTATAGATTGATACGAATTAGTCCAATTTATGCATATATATACATATACATCCGTACATATGTATATAGCCACGGAATAAGGCTCTTCGTGTAGCTAAGCGTTAAAATGATAAGCGAATCAAGAAACAATTTCGTGGAATAAAGCCAACAATGGTAACAATTTAAAAGCAGAGGTTAATTATAAATTATTTTGGGGGGAGAATTTAATTGTCTTCTACTTCATGGATGAGGATGTTCCAAAGCTACAATATTTGTATGTTGAACACAGCAATGTAAACAGATTCTTCATTTTAAGCTTTGCAATGATAAAATTTACACATTTAAAAATATTTCCGTTTCATACGTTTTCTATTTTGACCTGTTTCTATATAAGTTAGTGGTGTAAATTCATTCAGCAGAAACGCGGTTATATGTAATTAATTCTAAGTTGAGAGAATGGCAATTTAGTTAGTTAATCCTGTAAATCAGAAAGAATATATAGCCTAACAATATTCATAACAGTGTTAATAATATTTTTAATCATAATGGAATCGCTTGAGGGACAGCAATCATAGCAGTGGTGGCAGATAGTACTCACAAAAACTGTTTGATTGACACACGTAAAAAAATATAAACATGAGAGTAAGTAATTCCGTTATTTTTCTCATCTGTTTAGATATAAATACAACAAAAATCGTTTATTTTCAGCATTTAATACAACCCAAATAATGACGGTTCAGGAAATAGCACGAAAAAAAATAATTTCTTAATTCATGTAGAATTGTCAGAAACAATAGCAAAAATAAGTTCATTTAATCGATATGCTGAGAAGCAAATTTCCTTACTAATTAATACTCTTTGGATAACTTTCTGATGTATGAATGCACTGAAAAAAATACTATTGATAATCTGACATTTCTAAGATCAAAAACTATAGTAGACTTTGTAAAATTATATTACGATACCATCCACCTAAAAAGATATTACAAGTGATAGTTCAGTGTCACGTCATTTTGATGTCTGGTTTTGCGCTGTTTCATTTGCTTTAGTATAAATATTGATAGTAAAAAATATATTTGGTAGTTTTTTTATTATTTTGTATGGAATTTGATAAATAAGAAATATTAAGGATTTAATGTGATATTTATGTCAATCATTGTTATAAAAGAAAATAATATCAATACAGATAACAATCGCAGAAAAACAAAGAAAAAATATAAAAATCAGTAAAATGGATAGACAACTTAAATATATATCATTAGCAATCGTTTTTGCAATATGAGTCTGGGCATATTGCTATTGTCATGTTAACTTTGCAGCTACAATTGAAAATCACAAATATCAATTTTAAATATCTTCTTGTCTTTTCCTCTTAGCACTAATAATTATTCGGAACTTTTCAAAATCAGCATTCTCACAATCTGTAACTCGTGTGTCCAAAAGGCATTATTACTGATAGTCATGTATTTAGAGTATAGTTATTAAATTATTACAGAGTGTATTGGATTTCTTTTTAGTATGGGTTTATATAGTTATAGTATTATTAATCTTTTTTTACCGGGTGGAACCATAAGGGATTTCAGGAACAATTTATCACTAATTTAACGTTATTTTATCTCAGATTATTCATACTTCCTACATCTTGTGGGTTGTGATAGTGAAGTGAGTTGTGATAACAATGTGAGTTGTGAGTGCCATGTTGTGATGCCAATGCATATGGATTGTAATGCCAGTATTATCGTACGCATATTGTGATAATTATGTTATCATATTATATACACTGGATTTTATGTGATATGTTATACCATGTGGAATATAGAAGTTTATGTTTAGTTTATATTACTGTGTAGCATATCACTTATGTGAAAGAATGATATCCTCTGTTCGATTTATAGAGTACATTTTATTTTGTCTCTGTAGTCACACGTCTGGCAGTAGACAGAGAGACGGAGCCTGGCGTGTGGGGCAGAGGAACATGAAGAGTTCCGTATTATTTTTGTCAGACCTGATTTCCAATGAACCTACTTTAGATTTCATCGGTGTTTTCTTCTCCATCAAGTATCACAGAAGGACACCAAGCAAACAAGGAAGACGAACACATCTCAGTGAAATCTTTTACGAAATAATCAAGCATTACCTAACTAATTTGAGGAGAGGAAACAGTCTTTTCAGTATAGTCCCGTGGGATAGACTTCAATACATGAACCATGATATTCAGAGAGTA